CATTTTTTGACAGCTCAAAAATCATGGAGGCATTAATTTATAATTAAATATGACAGGCCCTTCAATGTTGTTACTCCATTATATTATTATATTTAATTATTTAGTGCTCTCACATTAATTTCAATTTCATTATTTCAGAACAATTCTTTGATAAATATTTCGAGAAAATTCAACGGCTTAACATCTACGTCTCATTGAATATCTGGTAAAATACATTGGCGTTGAAGTACGAAAAAGCTTTTTCCCATTAAAGGGTACACCGGGAGGAGATGAAATGAGAGGACAGACTTTTCACGATAACCCAATTAAAAAGACGTTACGACGTCATAGTACCCAGGGAAGAAGAAGAAGAAAGCCAAAACGAGGAAGACCTAAACTCCAACGTACAGAAGAGCTGTGAAACGTTATAACCGGAAGCTACCACTGTATTCGTCATCTATATTCATGACGTCGAGGGGAGGTGAAACTTTAGATTGCTACGATTAAAGTCAAAATTTCCAAATGACTGACGAGTGAATTTTGGGAACCAACAGCAGATGGATGGTGTGGGGATGGGTTGAGGGTGGAATCGATGAGTCGCGTAAACATCGACCAATCGACGGTGGCAATTTTCATTACATCTTCGAGTCAATCGAGCGAAGTATTTCGGCATTATGAGTAAGTGCCAGAGTTAAAAAAAAAAAAAACAAATTATTAAATAATTATTATTCATCAATAAAAAAAAATTAAACTCTACAGTATTCGAGGAATGTGAGAGTGAAATGGATAATATTTTTGGTGATAATGAATGCAGAGTGAAAAATAGTGAGCTATCTATCAGTGTTTCTCTCAAAGCACATCCATCTTTCTCTGAGAGGACTTTTTTCCATCGACACTCAGTCGACTTCCATTCTCTTCTCTACAGCAGCTGATCGAGTATCGGATGCTTGTGGTTTTCGCGCGAACGAACCGGCTACCTAAATCCCCCGTACCTCTTTTTATTCCACCATCTTCCTCTCTGCCCTCTCAAGCGTCCTCACTGTACTCGCCTTTTACCCCACGAACGTTCACTTCACTTTGGTGAGTAAAACTGTGAAAACCTACAGGGAGGTAGACGAGGGAGAGAGAAATAGCGAGAGAGCTTTACCTTTTTTTTCCCCGGATAGTATGCGAAACGCCTTTCTTTGTTGCTTTCCTGAAAAGAGTTGCCTGTCCGCTCTCTAGTGCAACCATGGGAAAAAGAGGAACGGACGGCTCAGAGAGAGGGCCCAAGAGAAAAATGGAAAATGGAGAAGATGTAAAAGGACTGGATAAAAAATATAAGAACTCAATGTGTCACTATTTTGTTACTCTCTTTAACCACTCTTTCTTTTATGCTAAATATTTTAAGGTTTTTAATTAATTTTACTTGCTCTTTTTTCGTTTCGCGTGATCCATTTTGTTTTCCCGTGACGGGGGGGTAAAAATATTTGTCTGCGGAATAAATGTGTCAACGTGATGCAGGAGAGAGTGGAGAAAAACTAATAACTCAGAGAAAAGTGAAATATGCCGAGAATGGGGATGGGGGTGGAAGGGTGGCAAAAGGGTGGTCGGGGTGGGTTATGGAGTGTGACGACGCATACGTAAATAGGGGCCGATGTCCAAAAGCCAAATACATGCGAGTTGGAGATAAGACCCCATGAGGGAGATGTACACAGGTGGAAAGTCTGACGACTTAGAGGCTCGATGAAGAAGCCATTTTCTTTTTGTTCCTACTCTCCTATTATAAAAAGAATTGAATTCTAAACTCATTCAATTTCCAAACTTTCAATCATGATTTTCATAATTATTATTGATAATTATTTATGAAATTCTCCGAAATAATTGTTAGGAATAGGAATAGGAATTGTTATGGATATGAAGTATAAGATGAACCGTAAATTATTTAATATAATTTATAATATATTATCATAAATTATATGTCGTGAAAAACCATAAAAATAGCGTGTAATATGATTTTTTAAAAGCCAATACGATGTAAATGTGCGTCGGTATAAAGTTATGGTACCGAAAAAAAAAGAAAAATTTGAAGCGAATAAATTGAGAGAGATTCGTCGAGTTTTGTTATTCAAATGAAAAGATTGGAATAAAGCTTATGAGCTGTCATTATTAAGATTTTAGGTCAGGTCGATGGCCGCGTCATTGATTCCTTAAAAGCAGAGGGTCTCAAATTTGAAACGACGATTATCCCGTTTCAGATGGTTTAGAACTGAATCAAGATAAGTTGATGAAAAAAATCAGAGAATAACATGACATATGGACGCACTTCACTGTCCCATCCGTTCAATCTAGTATAAATGAAAGGTGCAACGAACCGTTGAATAATTGATGTTGGTTTTTTTTTTGAAAGTCAAATCATCCCGAGGTGCATTTTAAATTTAGGACCGAGTTTTCGGGAAAACAGAACTAACCTAACACACTGGGAATTCCATTGAGGATGAAGGATCAATGGTTTTGCCCTTTCTCATACCTCACATTTTCTACACAGAATCGAAATCTTATTTTAAAGGGGACAAGGATTCACCGTCGACTATCTTACACACAATCGAAAACTCTGGGAAAATTTCCAAGACACTACCGAGGACAAAGTTACAAATATCTTCCTGGCATCTAGACTGAAATTACTCAGAATTATTTACCCCGAGATTTCGAATTTGGAAAATGACGAGGGACACTTCAGCGACCCCATCAATCGTCGAATCAAATTGTTAAAAGTGACTGTACCATTGAGACCTTAACTTGGACTACCTGGAAGTCACTGCCCTCGAGGAATGCCTCCCAGAGATGTTCTCTTCCGTCAAGAATATTGTGAAGAATTGGGCGAATTTAATAATAAATAACGGTTTTATTAAATAAATATTGGGGTAAAGTAAAGGGAAATGAGATGTGACATGTCATTAATTCCTAGGGGTGTATATTTTTCTGCCAGAGGAACTTGAAGAGAAGAGAAGTCTCAGTTTTATGATGCTGATTCGCGGGAGGCGTGGGAGGCGTGGGAGGCGGGGGAGGCG